GAGCTTGGCAAGCTCCCCGTAACATATTTGATATGCCAAAACCAGTAAATATATCAGGTCTCATTCCCCTGATACGGAAAGAGCCTCCAATCATTGGGAAAGATGAATAAGGGGAGGCTGCTAAAATCTCAGGGCTGGGATGAATAGAGACGTTACTGGCACCTGCTAGAGTAAATCTACAAACAGGATGACAGTGACAGCATCTATACACAATGACTGGAGATATTATTAAGAAGGAAATTTAAAAGGACTATTTAAATGAATATTGGCTTAAGGAAGGAAAAAGTAATACATCTTAGATGGAATTTCGCCCTTGGGTGGTTCTCCTACCAGGAAGTGATTATGTCCTGGAAACTTCTTCAGAAGGAATGCTAATTATTCCCTCACCTATGTGTATTTGCTACCCCCAACTTCCCAAGAATTGGCTAGATAACTTAGGCAGTGAGACTGCGCACTAATATACTGGAATGGGGGAAGAGTGTGAGACTGGAATTGTGGAGAGAGTGAGATTGGAACAAGTGTGCTGGGGAAATGAAAAAAAAAACAGCAGGACAGAGATTGGAAAAAAGGGCAATTGATCACCAATCAACCTGACTCCCGTTACCATTCCCTCCTTCATGCATTTGCCGGCAGCCAGCTGGGGTGGTGAGGCTACACATGGCTACTGAATGCACACCTCAGGTACCCACACTTTTTGAACACACAACAGGATATAAATGGGGAGAGAATCACACCTCCTTCGTAACAAATCCTTAAGTCACGTTCCCTAAAAATTCTCTTATTACCCTTAGCAAATAGTGAAGCTGGATAAGAAACCATAACAGTGCCTGCATATTCCCAATAAACAGGTCTTCCCATTCTACATCTGAATTCTGGAAAACATGATAAACTTCTCTTCAGAAAGTACAGAGGTCCTCCGCAAAGTGTTCAATCAGCAAGTAGCCTCCCATACCTACTGTGCTCTTTGCTAGCTCCTGAGGACAGTTTTTGTAGCTCTGGCCCTCCTTTGCTCTCAGCTTGCACCAGCTGGGGGTCCTCAGCCACACCCATCTCTGTAAACATCAATGTCCTGGGGGCTGCTTTACACACACACACACACACACACACACACATACACACACACCCTTGATCCTTCTCTTACACTCATACCTTCCACATTTGCACAGGTGACTGTGGACACTTGCAGTTTTTTGTTTGGGGACCAAAACCAACTGTGTTCAGAACTTACTTCTGGTTCTTTGATCAGAGATCACTCCTGGATGGCTTAAGATACCATATGGAGTGCCGGGTTCAACCCTGGTCAGCAACAGATAAGGCAAGCATCTCACCTGCTATACTATCTCTCTGGCCCACAATTGCAATTTTCAAGCTCAAGTCATACACTTGAATGATGATAGCTTACGTATAGCTGCCTCCGGACCTCAGTGAAAAAAAAAATAATGGGTGATACATTTACAGAACTTAATAATCATAATGATATATATGAGAGCATTTATATTGTCATATATTATGGAGACCTATCACAGCATCTAAAGCAAATATGTTTAGAGATGAAAAACACTGAAACAAAAAATATACAACAAAGGGACTTTATTCCCTCATCATCTGGTATGTCTATCAGATAAAAAATCAGAAAGAAGACACTATTCTCACCTGAGATGTTGGAAAGACTAGGATAAATAAACCTTCCCTGGGCTCTCTACTTAAAAAGTAATGCAGAAAGTGTATTATCCTTTAAGCAAAAATTTGGCACATTGTTAATATGGCTTAGTTGAATGGAATCATATCAAGAATATTTTCAGATCAGATTGCATAAAAAATAAATTCAAACATTTTTAGACTAATTTGAAGACTTTCATACTACTAAAGAATTATTGTGCAGCAAAAAAAAACCACAGATACTTAAATAATAATTTTGGAGGGCTGGAGAAGACAGAAGAGAGAGTACAATGGTGCTGCAATGATGGTGCAGACATTAAGGCACCTGCTCTGCATGTGCTGACCTGGTTCAATCTCTCGTACTGCGTATGGTTCCCTGAGCAACACCAAGACTGATCCCTGATTATACTTCCAGGAATAGGCCCTGAGCACTTCCGGGTGTGAGCTCCAAACCAAAATAGTTCAAAAATATAAAAACAAATTGGGATAAAAATGTGACCTGGGGCTGGAGCGATAGCACAACTGGTAGGGTGTTTGCCTTGTATGTGGCCAACCCAAGTTCGAATCCCAACGATATGGTCCCCTGAACACCACCAGGAATAATTCCTGAGTGCAGAGCTGGGAGTAACCCCTGTGCAATACGCGGGTGGGACCCAAAAGAAGAAAAAAATAAGTGACCTATCAGAATATATAAGGCACAGAAAAATTAGTACTAAAAGTACTAAAAAAACTATAGCAATGTAGGTTTATCACAGGATGGGGTAAAAAAAATCGAACAATAACAATAATCTGATCATATATTTTAGGAGTTAGAATATGAACAAATAGAAAATTAACAAAAGAAACGCAAATCCTGTAGAACTAAATGAGTAAAAGTATGTATAAATGAACAAAATTAAATAAGAACACAATATAATAGATCAATGAAACTAACAGCTAATTCTTCAAAATGATAAAGTATACTGATGATCCCCTAGCTAGTATCAAACAGAAACAGAGGTTAAAAAAAAAAAAAAGCAGAAGTGAGATTACAACAAATAGCACAGAAATCCAAGGGTCAGAAGAAATTATTGTTACAAATAAATTAGAGAAGTTAGTAGAAAGTGACAAATATTTAGAATCATACACCATGCAAATATTTCATCAAAAGGTGTTTTTAAAAATAAACAAGTCAATTTTAGTCAAATAAACTGAAATAGCAATAAAATATCTCCTCCCAAACAAAATCAATTCCCTATAAGTTTGACTAAAAAGCTCTATCAAATCTTCAATAATGATCTATTCCCAATCTTTTTCAATTTCTTCAAAAAATTTTAAAAGGAGTTCTTCAAATGCCTTTTTTTTATAAATTACATGACCTTTTTTGGATATTGAACTAAATAATTTGCTTAAAATGAGCATCCTATTCCATATATTAAAATTCCAATCAAATTTCAGATCGTTCTTTTAAAAAAAAAGCGTAAACAAATACAATGTTTATAGAAGGATAATACTCCCTGAATAGTCGAAATAATCATGAGGGGGCAGAAAGATAGTAAAATGGTTAGGGGGCTTGCCTTGCATGTAGCTGACCTAGAGTCAATCTGAACACCGTATGTGCTGCCTTGAGTCTCTGTGAGAGTGATCCCTGATTGCAGAACCTATAGGAAGCCCTGAGTGTGGCCAGCTATGTGTGCACCCCATGCCACCCCCCATCAAAAAAAAAGCAATGCTGAGAATATGATGAGTGGCACCACATTCCTGAACGCTGCAGTACAAAACTATAGGAATCAAAACAGTGTGGTATTGGAATAAAAGAACTCAGACTAAAAAGCTAGAACTGAGCACCCGATAATAAATCCTTACTTCCATGGAGAGTAAACTTATGTCACATGTCAAAAGCACACAATTGAAGAAAGAAAGTCCTTTTAAAAAATGGTATGAAAATTTGTAGCCACATGCAAAATAATATAACTAATTTTTTTTCTTACATGATGCACAATAGTTACACAAAGTGAGTTAAAGACTTAGCTACTTGACTCAAATCCACAAAATACATCATAGGTTACATGAAAAATAACAACAACAAAACCATACTCCATGCTGTTGATTTTAGCAATAACTTTCCTGAGTCAACTTCCTTATAAAAAAAAATCAGATATAAAAATTCCTCAAACAAAAAATGCTGCCACAGCAAAGTAAATTATTATGAAATCAAAAATAAGACCACTGAATGGGAGAAAATATTTGCATATCCTAAATTGACAAATGGCTAAAATCCAAAATATATAAAGTCCTTACAGAACTCAACAAAAAAGTAAGAAAATGAAACACTTTAGGAAAGACTATAAATAGTCAATAGACACTGTAAAATAAATGTTCATGATAACTTGTTGTCAGGGACCAACAAATCAATATAACAATTAGGTAGCATCTCATATAACAGAGAAAGGTCTGTATCAAAAAGGTTGGAAGCCAGGGAGATAGCACAGGGGTTATTATTGTCAGACCCATTTCCCATGTTTCAATCAGAGAACCACCTGGACCTCCCGACCACAGCTCATCTAATTCATGAAAACTGTTGGTCCTCAAACACTGCTAGGAAGGTATGGTACTTCCCGACACTAGGTGCCAGAGTAGCATCTTTTCTGCTCTACTGATTGACAGACTCCCCATGCTCATAAATGTGCATCTATTTTCCTCTTTCTAAAATGTAGAGAGGGGCTGCAGGAATAGCACAGCGGGTAGGGTGTTTGCCTTGCACGCCGCCAAACTGGGTTCAATTTCCAGCTTCCCACATTGTCCCATGAGCACCGCCAGGGGTAATTCCTGAGTGCAGAGCCAGAAGTAACCCCTGGGCATTGCCAGGTGTGACCCAAAAAGGAAAAACAATAAAAAAATAAAATGTAAATAGGTGCTTAATTATTTATATTCTAAAGCTAAGAATATAATTTAATTAAAATGTTTTAATATTATGTTTAGTATATTGTATGATAAGTAATCAAATTTACAGTGTTTATCTACCTGGACACTATTTTTATTTTGTTTGGGGGCAACGCTTAGCAGTGTTCAGGCTTCTCCTTGGGCTCTGCAGTCAGGGATCATTCCTGATGTCATATCAGGGCATGCATATGAGGTCCTGGGGACAGACCTCTGAATGACCAAGCTTCAGACAAGTGTCTTACCCACTGAACTACCTCTCTAGACCCTTGTACACTCTTTTTATTTTTTTCAGTTAAAAAGATTTTTATTTCTTATAGTAAGTCCCCAAACAACAAAATAAGTTAAAGCCTTGCCACCCAATTTGATTGTGATAGTTAGTAGAACAAAAAGCACTTACAGCCAGACTATATTTTTCTTACCATTCACTTGGAAGATGTGAGTCTGATAAACATGTTCATAGCCCTCTGCATAGCAAGTATAATTGCCCATGTGAGTTGTGGTAACTTTAGTTATGTATAAGGACCCATCATCTCCAAAGTCCTGTAGAAAAATAAAGAAACATACAATTTCTGTATTTAAAAACATAGTTTAGCTATTTATTTTTAAAGATGTGATGCAGAATCAAATAGACTAAAATGCTTCTTTTAAAATACAAAATTATTGTTAGTCTTAAGAATTCAGAAGATCTGAAATTGCCATTCTCTCAAGACATGCTGTTTTATAAGTACAATCTCACTGTAAGTCTAGTTTTTAGTATTTATTTCATTTAAAAATTTTATTTAAAAAGAACAAGAAGAACATCCAGACAGAATGTCCAAAACATATGCAAAGGTCACTGGTATGTCAAGTACACTGGCAGGTTAGAATAAAGGAGACTAGAAATATAGTGAGAGAAAATGAATGCAATTAGGAACAAGGAAAGAAGAGATTTCCTAAGGCTTAAGTCAAAAGACAATAAAACTTCAAATGAAACTCAAAAATATATACTTTTCCTTTATCTACAGCAAATGGGTAAGGATAAATATATGGGTGCTCTTGCACTCACTCTCCTGAACATATTATTGGTAAATTTTAAATATTTAATACTGAAAATGTTAAAGCTTTTCCCCATTTCCTTTCCCAAGTCAGGACAAGGCTCAAAGTACCATGGACTGCATTTGATGCTTCTTGGCTTGCATTCGTCTCCATAGCACCACCATTAGGACTTGAAGGTCACTGAGTACCACTGGGTGTGTCTCTAGTGGTCCCTAGCACTGCAGCCCCAGAACCCAGTACTGAAGCTTTTGGTCTCTATCGCCTATTTTAGTATTGCCAGGAGTGCCCTGTGGGATCTACCAGATACCACTAGTGTAACCCTTATTTTTTGTAAAAGTGTTTTTTTCTGTCATAAATTTGGTAACTAGTTAGACTTACTTTTTAAGAATTTATAGTACTTATGTTTTTTAATTATGAATTTGTTATTTTTAATATTTATATTAACATGCAAATGAATAGTGTGGCTCATAAGTGTAAGGTTATGCAATATATTTTTTACTTGGTGAATTTTTAAAAATTTCTAATATCAATATTATGATTAAAATTTGTTTATTGTGATTTAATACATTTGTCAACACTGCCATCATCTTATGTTTGCAAGCCTATATCTACTGAATTATTTTATTATATACCTTCATTTTCTAAGCTGTAACAGTATAAACATAATTTTTTCAAAAAATTCTATCCTGAATTTGATTTTTTCTTTTGAATCCTTAAGATAAGAGCGATAGCACAGCGGGTAGGGCGTTCGCCTTACAAGCGGCCAACATGGCCGACCCGAGTTCGATTCCTCCGCCCCTCTCGGAGAGCCCGGCAAGCTACCGAGAGTATTCGATATGCCAGACACAGTAACATCAAAGTCTCCAATGGAGACGTTACTGGGCCCGCTCGAGCAATCTACGATTTATTAATGATCAAATAGTATTTGAAAGGTTTACTTTATATGTTTCAGGCTCTACTAAGCTCATATCATGTACATTGTTGGTAAAAATAGTTTTTAAGTAATGCTCCATACTAATTGCAATCAGGAAATATACTATGGATCTATTGAGTTTGGTTCTAAATATACTGTATTAGTTAAGAAAAAAAGAGAAATTTATAAAGGTGAAGGGGACAAAAATTCTTTAATTTTAAGGAGGAAGATAAAGAAGAGGGGTAAAAGCAATAGTGAAATGCACTATGATCATCACGTTATTTAGCTGAATGATGATAATGCCTTAATAGCAAACCAAATAAAGATCTTCAACATCACATTATATGAGATTAGTTGCAACATAATTTTGCAGATTCAGAAGCGAACTTCCATAGAATTTGAGGAAATGCTTCATGATGTGCACAGTAGCAGAAAATCTGAAGCTTAAGACAGAGAACATAATTTTTATGTAATAAAAATGATTTATAAGGGGACCCAAGTTATAGTAAAGCCAGTAGACAGCTTGCCTTGCACAGGGCATTCATGGGTTATATACCTGGAACCCCAAAAGTTTCCCTGAAACCTGTCACTCAAGAGTGATCACTGGGCTCAGAGTCAGGATTATGCCCTGAACACTGCCAGCTGAAGCTCCCAAAACAAACTAACAAAAATTAAACAAAAGAGTGATAAAATGACATGCATTACCGTGAGCTGCTGTTAACAGATCAAACAAACAAAATCAGCACACAGAACAAAAATGCCAAACACCAAATCGGCCTCAGGTGTATATCGAGTCAGTTGACATATAGGAAATCAAGTTCAGAAAATATCAGTTCTGAATAATTAAAGTTAAAATTCTTTGAGAAAGAGATTACTAATGACCTGAAATGTAACAGTAAACTATTCAGTGTGCATAAGCTATAAAAACACACAGAATATGGACATATAACAGACTTTTCACAATTGGAATAAACCATGAAGACCATGAATTCCTTCACTATATGTGAAAAATAACAAATCATTAATCTCAGGATATATACAAAATTTGTAATTAAAATGTTTTTATTTATATAAATCAAGCCTAGAGAGAATTTTAAAAACATGGAATATGGACATAAAACAGACACTTCACAATTAGAATAAACCATGAAGACCACGAATTCCTTCACAATACGTGAATAATAACAAATCATTAATCTCAGGATATATATGAAATTTGTAATTATGTTTTTATTTATATAAATCAAGAATAGAGAGAATTTTAAAATCATATTATAAAACATTCCTTTTAAACCATCTTTAAAACCTGGAATAAAAAAACGATTCTGCACATTGTTACAGTTGCTCAGGAAACAGTCCTTCTCCACTATAATCAAGATTCCTTCACCCAAACTTGAGAATTTTAATTTAAAAAGTCTTATTACCTGTGTAATATACTATATTATACTCTACTTTATACTATAAAGTCCCTTTAAGTTAAAACTCTCTTTGCAAAATTAGAATATGTGAGGTATTATATAGCTTAGATTATTATTTTTTCTCTTTTTTTTGTAAATGAAACGCAAGATTTGACTGGCTGGAGGAGAGAGAAGAGTGCAGTTTGGGGATGAAGGAAGGAATAGCACTTTTTATTGGTATAGTACATGATTCATCAACGCACCAATAAGGAGCAGTCACTTGAGCAGATAAAGTGATTACATTATCTTTTCTTATTATTTTATAGGAGTTAAGCACAGCCAAGAGTGGCCTAAAAACCGAACAAAATAAAAACAGACACTCAAAAAAGATCTTCCAGACTCAGTTTCCCTCAAGCTTCAATATTAAACTTTGCAATAATTTTTTTAAAATAGTCATTCCAATTATTTCTTTCCACTTTGAATATATATGTATATATGTATATATATATATATATATATATATCAATCTTCTCACTGCACTTAAAATGCAATCAGACAGATATTTATTGAGCATAAAAAGATATCAGGTACTGTGCTTAAATTTTAAGTCACTATAAGTCCTTATATTGTACCTTTTTTTTTTAATTTATGTTTTTAATAGTGAAACACCATGAGGTACAGTTATAGACTTACAAATTTTTGTGCTTGGGTTTCAATTATACAGTGATCAAATACCCATCCCTCCAACAGCGCCCATACTCCACCACCACGGGTCCCAGCATCCCTTCCACCCCCCCATCCCCCCCCATCCCCCCCATCCCACCCTGCCTATGTGGCAGGACATTCCCCCTTGTTCTCTCTCTCTTCTTTTGAGTCCTGTGTTTTGCAAGAGAGGCATTGAGTGGTAATCATGTTTGGTTTATAGTCCACCTTTCCATGCTTCTCCCACCCTGGGAGGATCCTCCCAACACCCTTTATTTGGTGCTCTATTCTCTATCTGAGCTTCCTTTTCCCCTAGCACGTGTGGCTGGCCTCCAAGCCATGGAGTAAACCTCCTGGTACTTATCCTGGCTATTCTTGGGTGTTAGTCTCCGATTTTGTTGCTTTATGTTCCCCCAGATGAATGCAATCTTTCTGTGTCTATCCTGCTCTTTCTGACTCATTTCACTTAACATGATACTTTCCATGTAGTACCACTTGTATGTAAATTTCATGACTTCATCTTTTCTAACAGCTACATAGTACTCCATTGTGTAAATGTACCAAAGTTTCTTTAACCAGTCATCTGTTCTCGGGCACTCAGGTTTTTTCCAGATTCTGGCTATTGTAAAGAGTGCTGCAATGAACAAACAATTGCAGATGTCACTTCGACTGTATTTTTTTGCCTCTCTGGGATATATTCCCAGGAGTGGTATTGCTGGGTCAAATGGGAGCTCAATTTCTAATTTTTTGAGAATCGTCCATTCTGTTTTCCAAAAGGGTTGGACAAGTCGCATTCCCACCAGCAGTGAAGGAGGGTCCCTTTCTCGCCACATCCGCGCCAGCACCAGTTGCTTTTGTTCTTGTGGATGTGGGCCAGTCTCTGTGGTGTGAAATGATATCTCATTGTTGTTTTGATCTGCATCTCTCTGATGATTAGTGATGTAGAGCATTTTCTCATGTGCCTTTTTGCCATTCAGATTTCTTTTTGCGAAAGTTTCTGTTAATTTCCTCGCACCATTTTTTGATGGGGTTGGGTGATTTCTTCTTGTGGAGTTCAACCAGTACCTTGTATATCCTTTATATCAACCCCTTGTTGGATGTGTATTTGGCAAATATCCTTTCCCATTCTGTAGACTGTCTTTGTATTTTGGTCACTGTTTCTTTTGAGGTTAAACTTGTAATGTATCTTTTAAACAGCCTTTAAAAAGATTACTAATTGTGCATTTTAAATAGTCTGTTTGCATACAATAAAATGGAAACATGCTGTTAAATTTTAAGTCATAAACCACTCCATTCATGCCCCAATTCAGATCTTTAGATCTTAATGGTCTATGAAATAGTGTTAAGATTTAGTATCGAGGATGCAATGAGGTTCAAAGGTAAAGTCCTAATGCATTCAATGAGGATCTTATAAGGGCACTTGGGGAGTTGTCCAGAGCCTTCCTTTGTTAAAAGAAAAAAAAAAGAAAAAGAATCCACTGGTTTTGAACCAC